GAAGGAATCAGCCAGGCTCCAAGTAGCAGTCCTGATGGTCAAGAGCCTCTGAGTGGGCACTGAGTAAAAGAGTGGGCAGAGGGGAACAGGGGACCAAGACCTCTGAGATGCACACGGGAGGGATATCCCCAAGAGCTCTGCAGGGGGAGGATCCGGCTGGTTTTAGAGAGTGGAGAGGAGGGAGAACTGCATTCTAGGCAGAGGGAACTACCTGGCCAGGGGCAGGGAGGCAGGGGACAATGCTGGCTGCTGTGAACATTAACGAGATGGTATAATTAGACCAGGCACTACAGGATGGCGGGTGCACGGCCCTACCTTCAGCCCATGACTTTCAGAGGCCATGAGAGCGAGACAATGCCATCACTTCTCACATACGGCCTCCGTAGGCAGGATGCCCGTGACAAAGAACTGGGAGCGTACTTGGCGCGTTTTGCTTTCAGGCGTTGGAAACATGCAGTGGGAAATATTCCACTGAGCCAGCAATCGGGCTTCCAACAATCTTAGCCACCAAGACCCATAACCCTAAGCGAGGATACAAACGAAACAGCCAGCGTGCGACAAAGAGTTGGCGCAGAGCCTGTGCACTTTTCCCCCTAAAGGGAGTGGTTCCCCCTTCAGTCCCATAGAAAATAGGGCAGGGGTTCCATGCCAAAGGGCAGCACTGGGAGGGGGCAAAGAGCCCCTCGTCCAAAGTGATGGGGCCCTTTGTGTGGCCGACAGACGAGGGCTTGTCCAGAAACAGATCTGGTCTCCGCCCGCCGCCTTATCTGCCTGCCGCCCCACTCCTCTCTGCCCAGGATTCTCCGACCAACAAGCTCCTCTATGCCAAGGAGATTCCTGAGTACCGGAAGATCGTGCAGCGCTATTACAAGCAGATCCACGACATGACGCCGCTCAGCGAGCAGGAGATGAACGCGCACCTGGCCGAGGAGTCGCGGGTGCGGCGGGCTCCAGAGGGGCCCTGTGGGCTGGGGACCTGACCCCCAAGGAGGAGCTGCAGGAAGCTGGGGGCTTGTGTGGAAGCGTTGGGGCTGGGCCAGGGCCTGTTTTGAAGGGTGGGTTAACCACCCCTCCCCACTCCCACCTGCTTCCTTACAGAAATACCAGAACGAGTTCAACACCAACGTGGCCATGGCTGAGATCTACAAATATGCCAAGAGGTATCGCACACAGGTGAGTACCCCTGCGGGCCTGGGGTCATGGCGCCCCCCCACCCCCAGCTTTCCGCCCTGCCCACCTGCACTCTGCTCAGGAAAACCCCAGGAAAGTTTCCTGTTCAAGTATTCACATCCCAGGATATTTGCGCTTTAGGTGTTGGTTGCCAGCAGTAGAAATCAGGCAGCGAGTAGATTGTTCCCCCACTGTGGTGGGAGCCTCTGGGGCCCAGGGCCTCGGGCTGTGACCCAGCTGCCCCCTGCTTCCCTGTCAGATCATGACTGCCTTGGAGGCGAACCCCACTGCCCGGAGGACCCAGCTGCAGCACAAGTTTGAGCAGGTGGTGGCTCTGATGGAGGACAACATCTATGAGTGCTACAGTGAGGCCTGAGCCTGTGGGAGACGGTGCTGGGGAGGGACATGCTGCCCTCAACTTCACTTTGATCCCCGTGCCTCTGACTGCGGCTGGGAAATGACTGAGCAGAGTCAGCTTCTGGGGAGGGGGGAATGGAAGGGCCCCTCTGAGCCTGGCAGAGGAACCCCCCAGCCCTGGCCCCTTGGGCACCTCTCTCTGGCCCCTCCCATCTGCCCCCAGACCTGATCTCTGGGCTGGGGACTTGAAAGCTGCAGCCAGTGCCTGGTAAGGCTCCTGCCACCCACCCACCCCCAGCCCCTGCCCCCCGCCA